AGGCAAGATCCCCTTCACATTTGTTCTTCATGAATCATGTAGCATAGTATATTAGTATGTGTACAGCTCTGGTATATTTGATTGATTAATAAGTTTTAGAAATAATGTTTTCTTTATAAAGAGCCTGTTACATAAACATAACCCAATAGCTCACAGTTTCAGTATCGATGATATGTGCATGGTCCTACACGTGTCAGTGCATTCAATATTAAATATCATGATCCTGTATACTATTGATTATCATCATTATGTTATTAATGTCACCATCATAAATTAGCAAATATTAATTATTCTAAGTTAAGTTAGGTATCAATGAAACAACTTAGTATGGAAACAATCAACAAGTATGCAAATAATTTTAGATAACATGACATTACATTGACCCGATATGTTGACCCCTTATTTATTTTCACTCATGTCATATATGCACACCTGATTCATCGTTAGCTTATATAGTCATGTTCATCATATGATTTGCATAAAATTAGTTGTATTTATTTATTATTTCTTGTTTTGTTGATAACCGTTAGTAGTTTATGTTCTTAGTAGCCTAGCGTGTCGTGTATAAGACCTAGATGCCTGTGATTTGTTGACTTAGAAAAGCGAGAAGAGTTGAGATGGGAATTCTTGGTTTAGGTGATCGGATGTAATTGTTGATTATTCCAGGCTCGCACCAACGATATTCCTGTGTAGCGTTGGGGTGGGTCTGAGGTGATGTGATATTGTGATTGTTGTTTATTTCCAGGCTCGCACCAGTGAATCGTTTCGCACTGGGGTGGGTCTGAGGAACGGTGATATTATGATTATTGTGATTTCTAGGCACGCACCAGTGAATCGTTTCGCACTGGGGCGGGTCTAAGGTACTAGTGAGATATGGTTAACCAGATATCCGATAATGTGAACCTTGACTCTATGTGAGATGTGAACCAGTGACCTGTTATAGGATGGCTAATTGCATGACCTCGTTTCTTGGCTAGGTATGAATTCTTGTGAGAGGTAGTCCAGTTGTTGTTCTTTTCATACATAGATCGGGATTGATATTTAATTATTTACAATTCGAGACATATGGTATATACATGAGGGTTTCCTTGTTTGGATTATTTCGCTCGACGTACTACGTCTCTTATTGTAGATTTTTAAATATTAATTCTATCTATTGTATGATCTTGTTGCTTGGGTGGTTTCTGATCGCTAGCTGCATGTTTTCATTACCCGATTGATTTACGGATTCTTATGGTTATCATGTGGATTGCATGTTGATTTTGTTAGATTACCAGTTGCACGTCCTTTTGTTATTTCGGTTTTCGTATCGTTTTCCGCTTGTGTTTTCGATCATTCTATGTCTTTGTGGGGTCGGGTCTTGCCGTGCGTCATGCACCTGACGTACACCTATTTTCTCTGGTGTACGTCAGACTTAGGAGAAGAACAGGTTCAACAGCAGGAGCTAGAGGATTCTCAGCAGGAGTACCCTGTAGACGGAGCAGAAGAAGGAGACGAAGCCTATTCTTTTCATTATTAGCTGATGGTTCCAGTTATTTTGTAGTTCTTTCCATTTCGCTGATCAGTGTATTTTATCTCTCTAGTATTTCATTTGTTCAATATGTATAAGGGCATGTTTGACCCGAACATTATGTCTTGGATGATATTCATTTGTGATATGTATCTTTTTATTCTGAGTTTGTCTATTATATTCTTGCTATGTGTGATCGGGGACCTGTGACTTCGTATTGTACTTATTTCCAAACGCTTAGCGTATTAGATTGAGAAGACGGGGTCTAGCACTTATCTCTTCTCAGTCTAATACGTCGCGGGCTTGCTCGCGTCCCGATTCCCTGGTATTTTGGGAAGCGGGGCGTGACACAAGTCCTTGACAATCCTATTGGCTTCATAAAAAGACTTTGGCAACTTTATGTCTTGAATTGCTTCCGTCCACAAGGTCAGAGAATCATCAAATGCCTTATTGCTTAGTCCATGTATGCACTTATGCAAGTATAATCGAATTATGAAAGAGATTTTGGAAAAAGTTTTGCATCCTGGGAATAACTCTTGTTGGCCTTCTTCCACTAACTTATAAAATTTCTTAGCATCCTCGGTCAATTCCTCTGTGCCTTCCTTTATGTCTTATTCATCGTTATCTGAAAAATCTTCTATTATGCCTCTAAAAATATCATGTAGTAATCCGCCTACATCATCATGAGTACGTGCATCATCATCATCACTCTCGCTATGGACGTTCAATCTTGATGGTAAATCCTCACCATGGAAAACCCATTTGTAATAATTATCTATAAATCCCTTGACAATCAAGTGATTGCAGACAGTATTTCGCTGATGCCAACAACGATTAAAACAACCCCGACAAGGACAACATATTTCATTCCCTTTAGCTGCTTTTGCAAATGCTTTATCAAGAAAGTCATTCACTTTTTCAATGTACTCGGCACTTACGCGAGAAGTATTATACATCCAACCTCTATCTCTATCCATAATTTGTATGTGCTAGAGAAAAGTAAATATATTAAGACATCAATAATATATATCCTAGCAACAATCATTACAATGCAATTGCTAGTTGAATGCATCTATAGTTGATTGGTTCAGTTTTAAAATTTTACAATTTGAGTTCTTGAGTGTTTATTTTTAGGAATCAGGTTCTTTTTGAATTGGGTTAATTAGGGGGCCACCCATGCAGTGCTATTATTGAACATAGACTCCCTGAGTGAATTTTTTTCTCACTCACCGTCAGAGGGTATATTTGTAAAACAAAAACAAAATTTCTCTTTCTCTGAGAAGTAAAGAGTTAAAAAAGTTTTCATTCAGGGTCTATCTGCAGCTAGAATTACAGAGATTCTAAGGGGATACTATAGGGGGTCTACGGAAACTAATCTATTTGCAATTATTGTGGATTAGTTACAACCTTAAATTCTATTGCTGCCTGAAAAAAGCTTCAACTGCAAATACCCCCAAATTTGTAAACAAGTCATCAATTGCAACCGAAGGATATTTACGACTGTGGTTGCAACCGCATTTATAAGTCGTCATGAGGCAAACAACTTCTACTGACACAACCAAAACAACAAAGCCCTAATTTGTAAAATCAAATAAAATTTTCATTAAATAGAGAAAAAAAAAATTGAAACCCTAGGTTTGATGACTAAAAAGGAGAGAGATATACCCCAAATCACAAGATGATAGAGAGGGGATAGCGACGAGAGGCGCAGCTAACGGCGGAGGCGCGGCGAACTGACGAAGTGAAGGTGGCCGGCGGCGAACGGAGGCGTCGACGAGAGAAAAAAGAGAGCGGAGGCGCGGTTCCGAGAGGAGTCGACGAGAGCGGAGAAAACCCTAGAACTATCGGGTGAAGAAAGTTTTTAGACTTATCGGGTGAGGGCACGGTTCTGAGAAAGAAAATAAATTTTCTTAAAAAAGTTTGGGCGTGAGCCCTTAATAAAACCGTCCGTTTAGCCTACCAAATTTTTTTTTCAAGCCTAATTCAAGCCCAACACTTTATTTTGAACTGTTGCCTTAGACTCTATCGTGACGATTGTAACCGTCACACAACTGTTCCCTTAGGAGGCAAAGGAGACGGTTTTAAACCGTCCCCAAATAACTGTCCCCATATATCTATTTTATGGTTGTGGAATCTCCTCTGTCGGTCGACCGGACTGGGTTTTTATAGCTTTCTTCGTTGATTTGATTCTAGGCTTGGGTCTCCACACCCGAGACCAACAAGGGTGGCTTCTCGCACAAATAGAATTACAAAGGAATATATTCGCAATTAAGTGATACTACGGGGTTTTCTTATATATTGCTTACTTCATATATGACTTTACATCGGAATACCCTTTTGAGTGTTGTGTTACTATGCATTTTTGCTGGTATTTTGCTGATACGATGCACGTTTCAATCGCTATAATTTGATCTACAAGTTCAAATCTGAACGATTTCATATTATAGTTGATAGCTAGCTTAGATGCGTGTGTCACGTTAATTAACAAACATTTGAGCCAAAAACAATATGGACCCACTATTCCCTGTTTACCATAAGTGGTTTCAATGTAGTTTTGGGATTTTTGCATATATACCCCTCTTCATATTTGTAAACTTACCCTCTAAATCTAGGTATCTGCAAAATTACCCCGCGATTCTCTTACGTCTATTTTTTCTACCCTTTTCACCTACCAATTTTAGAATTTAAATAAAAAATTGTTGCAAACCTGTTGAAAGTTATTGAGAAATTTGACATTTCTTATTTAAAAATCGCTATAATTTGATCTACAAGTTCAAATCTTAACCATTTCAGATTAAAGTTGATAGTTAGCTTAGATGCACGTGTCACGTTAATTAACAAACATTTGAGCCAAAAACAATATGGACTCACTATCCCCTGTTTACTATAGGTGGTTTCAACGTAATTTTGGGATTTTTGCATATATACATCTCAAATATTTCATATTTGCAAAATTACCCGCAGATTTTCTCTACCCTTTTCACCTACCTATTTTGGTATTGAAATAGAAATTTGTTGCGAACCTGTTGAAAGTTATTGGGAATTTTGACATTCCTTACTTAAAAAAGCAACATTTTTAAGTTAGAGTGATAGCAAGACTCAATTTGCTAGTTTTGAGGAGGAATTTTGTAAATAACAATATATGAGGGTTAATTTTGGCATATATTGAAGATTTGAGGGGTATGTACGCAAAAACCCCTATAATTTTATTCCGTTTGATGTTTCCCCGTAAGAGGAGGATTGTGATCCTCTACTAAGGCATAGTGCATCCTAATATCTCCTAACTCCTCATATTTTGTGTTTATGCACAAAATGAAAGGTGGAGATGCATTAGGAGATATGCACTATGTCTTAGTAGAGGATCTCAATCCGTAAGAAGAAGCCCACAAGTTTGCAGAACAAAGCAGTACCTTCTAGAATCCGGACCATTCCCTTTCCACCATTTGTCAACACATCAGTGCCAACTTCGGAATAATAAAAGTTCTGAAAGCGAAGACGATAAGTTCCCTTCCAGCTCGTTTCTCTTGAGGCAGACGTAACAGCGTACTACTCTCTAAAGTGCAAACTCCCCTTAATTTCCTTGTCGCGGAGAAGAAAGAGATGGGGGGCAATCGAACGGTGGGGATCGGCATGGACTACTCTCCGACGAGCAAATCGGCTGTCCGATGGGTGGTCGATAATCTCGTGGGTGAAGGAGATCGTATCATTTTGATACACGTGTTATCGACCAAGTCAGATAGTCCTCAAAAGAAGCTTTGGGGTGACAAGGGATCACGTAGGGTATCTATATATCTGTATCTGTATTCATATCTGTAATTTTGTTTTGTATGTTACTTTTACTATCATCTTTGAATATTTTTTCAGCTCTGATTCCTCTGGAGGAGTTTAAGGAAATGAACTTGTCGAAGCAGTACGGAATTAGTGCGGATCCCGAGGTGGTGCAACTTCTTGATACTGCATCAAAGACTAAGAAGGTAGTCGAAATTAAATTAAACTTATCTATTTTTGAAAACTATATATAAAAACTAGGGTTATTTGAATATTAGTACCTCAAATATTCAATAATTTCATATTAGTCCCTTAAATCTCAATAATTTGCACATTAGTGCCGCAATCCTAGTATTTTTGCATTTGGTCCCTTAATGACCAAAATACGATTAGCTGATGTTTTTTGAAGGGTTATTTGCGATATGGCACTCTAAAGTTTATAACACATCTTTATACTTTGATACTCCAAACTTTTTTTTGACACTTTGATATGGCAAATTTTACATATTTTTTAACTTTGATACCCCTAAAATTTGGACACTTTTATATCCAAAAGTTCACACGTCATTTAACTTTCATGCCTTAGAGATCCACGTTTTATAACTTTGAAAACTCAATTTTTTTACGCATTTTTAACTTTGATATCATAAAATATGGGGTATCAAAGTGTTAAAATAGAACTTTGGAATATCAAAGTGAAAAAGGTATAAACTTTATCGTAACAAAAGTATTCAAAGAAACTTCAAGATATCAAAGTTAAAAATGTAAAATTTATGGTTTTGGGGTATTAAAATTAAAAAGGTGTGAACTTTAAAAGACCAAAGTGTCCTTAAGAAGATGAGTTTTAAAAGCGAAATCATAACTAAGGGGTATTTTGGTCATTGAGGGACCAAATTACAAGACCCTCTAGGATTTGATGGACTAATGAACAATTATTGGGATATGAAAGACTAATATGGAATTATTGAATATTGGAGGGACTAACATCTAAATAACCCTAAAAATTGTGGGCGAATTTGACAAAACCGTGGTTAACTTTTGGCCCATTTTCAGGTAATCCCTTTTTTTTAAAATATCACTTTGTCCCTCCTTATGTATGAGTTTTTCACAAAACCTTCTTAAGTTTTAAACTTCCTGGAGCATAGGGCTGGGCATATTCGGTACGGTTCGGTTTTATGCCCAATCCGCATCCAATCCGAATTTTTCGGATGCTCAAAACTCTCATCCAGATCCGGATTTTTTCCACTTCATCCGAATATTCGGCCCAACCGAAATTCGGTTCGGTTCGGTTCGGTTTCGGTTTTGAATTTGCAAAGAGTTCTATCCAAAGACTTCTGTTGTGAATTTCCAAGCTGGGCATTGTCCTCATGATGAGGTTCCTGAGCTCGCCAACAAAGCTTTATTAGACTGGTTATCATCTTTAGAATAAAGTTTTGAGTTGATATAATTACGCAGAGAACTAATGTTTTAAAGATGTTGTTCATATAATACAGCATGCTTATCTCTTGTAAGTATCATGTACATAACACATTTTATGATTGATTTGAATCTTATGTAATTCTCAAGATATTTTTTGCGAAATTTTTTAACTAAAGTTTAAGTTTATTTAATTATACGGGGGAGTGATGTTTTGTATGATATTGTGCGAAATTTTTTAACTAAAGTTTAAGTTTATTTAATTATACGGGGGAGTGATGTTTTGTATGATATTGTTCATATAATGTAGCATATGCATCTTTTGTAAGTGCATCATGTGCATAATAAATTTTCTAGATTGATTTGAATCTTTACTTAGTTCTTAAGGATATTTTTTTGTGATATTGTTGTACTCATTGCTTGAAACTGCTCCTTGCGCCGTTTGAATCTATTGGATGATAACAGGAAAAGTTTTGAGGTATAAGTTTAGTCTCTAAACCGCCCAACAAAATTCGGGTCGGTTTTTTTTTGGACGGTTCAGGGGTTCAAACCGGATCCAAACCGATTTAATTCGGTTCGGGCGGTTTAGAGACTTCTTCTCATCCATTTAATTCGGTTCGGTTAACCGGTCCATTTTTCGGGCGGTTTTTTCGGTTGAACCGGATTTTTTTCGGTTTTTGCCCACCCCTACTGGAGCATACCCCCAAATGAAAAATTAGTATTCCACATGAAAATTTGGGGTAATCGCAGAACGGGGTGAAGCTTTAATTATTTGAACTTGAGCTTTTCAGTGTACTGGGTCTTATGCACGTGCAATGCACGTGGTTTAATGTCATGATTAATTTTTTTTGGTTTATTTCCTTACTAAAACTTGTTTATCGGTTCCACTTTGATGGTTTTTTCTCACTTCTGTCTCTAAACTTTAGCATTATGATTATTTATGTTCTTTGTTATTTGTTTAAATGAGTTACACGCAATTTAAGTTTTCATGTTGATAATTAAATTGACAAGAGATAAATGTAATCCGAAGCGAATTTGAATAATCATGTTATTTGGACCGATATGAAACCAAGATTGACCTGAGAAAATAAAGTGTTGCAAAAGCAAAAAAACACTTGAAAAAATAGCGTTATAAAAGGATGATGAATAATTAAAGCTAATGAGACAAGATGATTGGTTAAAAGTAGGCTAAAACGACACAACAAAGAATATGAAGCTTGTTTCTAATTCTTGATAGACTTCGAAAAACTTATAAACTAAAGATTAATGCTAACTTTAGTACACGTTTATATAATGAAAGCATCCATGTAAACGTATAAAAGTACTAAAAAATCCATGAAAATATCTTCTAAAGATTTCTAATTTACTCAAAAAATAAACTATTCTGTAAAATATTCAAAAAGACAACATCTTTTATTCTTGTTGTTTCATTTTTTGTTGAGCCGACATTAATCATTCTCCACATTTATCTTTTTTAATAAACTTAGACTACTTTTAGATGCTGAAAAGGGATAGTAAAATTTAAATTAAAAGTTAAATTCATATATTTTAATGAAAGGATATCAAACTACTACTTTTTCTTTACTAAGTTTAGACATTTTTGTATTTTTTTGTGATTTTGAATTTTTGAGGGTGTTTTTGATAAATTTTAAAACTTTGAGAGTGTTTTTGAAAATTTTAAATTTTAAGTTGGGTGCTTATAATTTTTATGTTTTATATGTTGGTGATAAGTTTTCGAATGTCAGAATATATCTTGCAACTCTAAAATTTTAAGGGTATTTTTTTACAATTATTAAAATTTTGGATTATTTTTTGTAAAATTTAAATTTTTAGAGGTCTGCTGATAATTTTTAGATTTGATATGTACTGGTTATATTTTTTAAAATCTTAGGGTTTTTTGTGATTTTTAACTTTTAAAAGAGTTTTTACAATTTTTATAATTTTGTGATTATTTTTTACAAGTTTTAAATTTTCAGGTGCCTAATGGTAATCCCTTGAATTCATCTTTGTTGTTTGTAAGTTTTGATATTTTAGAATTTTGGTGTGCTTTTTTATTTTTTTGAACTTTTGTGAGTGTTTTTACAATTTTTGAAATGTTGAGGGTATTTATTATAAATTTTAAATTCTTCGGAGGCTGTTGTTAATTTTTAAATTTCATATTTGTTGTTTTAAGTTTTGAAACGTCAGGATGTTTTGTATAATTTTAAACTTTTTGAGGGTATTTTGTGTAATTTTTAAAACTTTTTTGGTTTTTTGTAATACTTTATATATTATAGCATGTTAGTTTTTCACTTTAACGGACTAATACCGTGGAGTTATTTCAAGTATTTTATTAATCTTTTTTTAGTTGTTGACTTATAGATAGTTCATAGGGGATTAGGATAGGATATAGTTATGATTAGGATAGATTAAGATATAAATGAAAATATCAAAATAAATTAAAGGTAATATTGACTATGGAAAACTTTTTCCGAACTCGTACTTTTAAAGGAAAATATGATATGATATGATTAAAACTTCGAAGTTTGTGACAAACGCTGAAGGTTATAATTTTGTACTCTAACAACATTCAGTTAACAAACCTCCAAAATTACGTTAAAACAGTTGAGAGTGGAGTGCAAGGTCTATTGGGGCGATCCAAGAGAGAAGCTCTGCGACGCGGTAGAAGATCTCAAACTGGGCTCCCTTGTAGTTGGAAGCAGGGGTTTGGGCACTTTTAAAAGGTTAATCTCTTCATAATCACTACCACTCATATTAAATCAATGGCATTTACAAATAAAATTCTCACTGATTTGGTATTGGATGTGTGAATGCAGAGTTTTGCTTGGAAGCGTGAGCAACTACGTAGTGACAAATGCGACATGCGCTGTGACTGTTGTGAAGGGGGGATCAGGCCCTAGGGCCTGATTTCTCATCTGACTTCTTTCTTAATTTGGGGGTATACATATATTTGTAGTGAGTAAATAATGTTTTTGAGAGAGAGGTTTGCTCGAGTGATGATTACTCTCTCTAGTTGATGGAAGGTTTTGTGTGCTTGGTAAAATTTGTACTGTGTTGTGTTGTGTATGCTTACTGACAGCGCTTGCATCTTCTTTTTTGGTCAATTGCTACTGCCTTGGATTACTTAGAAATGCAGAATCTCTTGCTGTTTGATACTCATGTGTTTATCACAGTCGTCGGTACTAAAAAATTTGTAGGTTAAAAAAGATCATCTGCGCATAGACGTTCAGTAAATGATTGCCGAAGGTTATTGATTATCTGGTATTGCTCCTCTAACGTTCACTTGATCTCATGGGTTTATTAAAATTTAATTATGCATATAACTTTCTGTATGGAGAGCAGAAATCATCCAGTACATTGATAGGGCTTCGTATGTCTCTGTGGTGGTCATTTTGGCATTATTTGGACGAGCAGAGGTCGAATGTCTGATCCCCTATTAGTCTACATTGCAAGCCTGTAGCGACTAACTTTGATTGCATGTAGTCACCTTTTGAAATGTGAAGATAAAGTGAATTTTGAAATCAAGGAGGCAGTTCAGCTTCACAATTTTATTGATTAAGGAAAACTAGTCTTTTAGCTCGTGCTAAGCATGATCTTATTGCAATTCACTAATATTTCGTCACGTTACAATCACTCGTTTCCCAATAGAATATAAAAAATACATTCACATACCTCCCTTTCTAAAGCACAAAACTCCCCCTCCCTCGATTGAGGTTCGAAAATATATCATTGCTTGGAAATCATGATAAAGTTATAAATTGAAAGATAATAAATCATAATTAAAATCATATTCATAAATATGGTAGTTATATTTATGGGCTAAATAGTTTTTAATTGGCAATTAATTTTTTATGAATTTTCTTATATCTAATGTAATTTCCATTTTATCTATTTTCAAGTAATTTTAAATGGATAAATCAACTCAAAAGAATTCCAATAACACCAAAAATACATTTAGTACAACAAAGCTGACTTTTGTCTTTCTAGTTTTCTAGTATTGTATGGTAGTCACTTTACGTTTAATTGCACTTGTCTTTTTTCTATTTATATTTTGCAATAATATGAATGTATAGTCATGTATTTACTAATTTTAGTATTGTATGCCTATTTCATTTGATTTCTAAGACCTATATTATATGCAAATAAACTTGATTGACTTTATTGTAATTTTTCTAACTTAAAAAAGGTTAATTTAGAAGTTTTTCTTTGTTCAAATCTAAGTAAGTCAAATTTATGTTTAATACCATACGATATTGATATTTATTATATATCCAAAAAGAATCCACTAATTTCGTGCAATTGTTATTGTTAAACCCTAGAAGGGGGGTGAATAGGGTCAATACTAATCTAATTCCGATTTTATACCAATTAAAAACTTTCTTGACTAATTGATTCTTGCAAAAGATATATGAATGAGTTATGAGCAAGAATGTAAAATACAAGCACAAAAGAAATATACACAAAGCAAACTCAAACACAAGATATGATCACAGAGTTCGGTCAACCCTTAACCTACGTTTTCGCTCCTCAACTCGAGGAGATCTCCAGTACTATATTGACACACCCGGTTTAGAAGCTGGAACTTCTCTACACACTTGGTTTTCTAGTTCATCGAAAACTCTACAAGTCACTCACAATTTACATACACAAACTACAACCTCAAGTGTTGGTCCTTACATATCGCCTCCCTCAAGTGCTCGGCTTTACTACTTCTCCTAGCTAGGCTTTACAATCGATGTCACTCCTCTTGGTATCGACTACATCTTCACCACACACTCCTCTTGGTGTACTTGTGTATTACAAAGTGATACCCACAAATGAAGCTCAAATACAATAAATTGTTCTCTAATAAGGATGAGAACACAATAAGGCTCACTCTCACTAAATCACACATCACAACCCAATAATATATTGTATGAAATATTATAAGCTCAATAAAAGTGTGTGTGATAAATGAGAACAATAAAATCTAACTCAAATAAAACTAGCTAAGATATGAATATGAAAATCAAAATAATAAATAAGCTAGATAAAAGAGTTAGAAATCTTCTCTATAAACACAAGGAGCTGTAGATATGATGATGAGGATGAATTCCTCAGTTGAAATCAAAAGCTTTCTCCTTGTGAAAAACTCCTCTTTTGAAAGTAAACTTAAAACAATGCTTAAACACAAATAAAACTCTTCCAAAACTTGATTAAATAATTTTCTTGATGCCCACGAAAGTTAGAGGGTATGGGGTATATATAGGATCATAGAACAAGCCCTAAAACCAAGAAAAACCCAACAAAAAGATAAAATAACAAAAACTGGAAAACTAGCTGTTATAGGCCATCAATCGACTGACGGGATGGATCAGTCAACTAAGGAGCTGACTGTTATAGGCAGTTTACAGCACATCAGTCGACTGAAGGCCTCATCAGTCGACTGATAAGTCAACTGAATTAAAAAAACAGAAACTTTTGATGATTCTGCCTAATTTTATCAGTCGACTGATAATATGCATGAGTCGACTGATAACAGTTTTTCAGCCTGTTTTGAATTTTAAAAATGAATTTTAATGACCTTTAAAAAATAGTAAATAAATTCCAAAAAATATAAAACTTTGGGAAAAGTTTACAAACATAATAACAAACTTGTTTGAAAAGGAATTTTTCAAAAAGGACTTTTTTTTCTTCTCAATCCAATACGCTAAACGTTAAATATAAGATATCAGTCACAGGTCTCTGATCATAATAGCAAGAATATAATGACAACCTAGAATAATAAATAGACATATCATCAAAAGAAGATCATCCTAGACATAAAAATATGGGTCAAACATACCCTTATTACAAAAACGACATATCATCAAAAGAAGATCATCCTAGACATAAAAATATGGGTCAAACATACCCTTATTACAAAAACGATCCAATTAGGAATATAAAAATACATAGTCATTAATAAAAGAAAGTGCTGCTAAAAATACTAAATCCATCTTCAACTAAAGAAAAGTACGGTAAAAGAGTTCTAATGTTCCACAACTACTACAGAAGAAAACCACTACGATTCAGTTTGTTCTTCCACTCCATCGAAAGGACACTCTGGCTGGGCATACACCGGCTCTGCTGCATCATCGAACTGGACATGTTCATCCCCTAAGTCTGACGTACACCAGAGAAAACATGTGTATGTCAGCGTGTATGGCACACGGTAAGATCCTACATAGAAAATGAAGCAGTCGAACAACCCATGCTATGACAGTAATAACACCAATAGGAAAGACAATAATACATGCAACTAGAAATCTAATAAATCAAGATGTAATCCTCTCCTAAACATGATAACATATAGCTATATGAATACAGTAACTGGGTAAAATACTAGTCATCCTAAAACTCACTGGTCCACCTCTCAAATAGGTCCAAGTTCGCATCACTGAAAGACTGACTGTTCACCATCCCCTACGCTCATTTAATACCACAAAACAGGCGGTTAGAGGACTACACACAATCCGATCTCGGTCTAGTCCGAACTCAGGCAAAGCTCATGTAACAAAACAGGTCACAAACCCAAGTGGCGAAACAGGTCACTTGGTCCAACAAACCAACCCCAGGACGAAACAGGTCACTGGTGTGAGCTTGGAAGTTAAGTCAATAATCACATTCGATCATGCGAACTAAGACTTTCACATCCCAACTTTTTTTGTTTTTCTAAGTCAATGATCATAATCCCTATTAAAACTCTGGTTCACCACCTAAATTCAGTCAACACACCCACACATGTCACTAGGTATGTTCATGACGCATGATGTCACTAAGTCATGAACTACTAAGGTTCTCAATCACAAGATAGTAATAACACTAATTCTAGACAATAATAACATGGCATGTCAAACATGAGTACACAAGTTTGTAAAGCATGAATAATCACTACATTAAAAGATGGAATTCATGAACAGCCTACCACGGTATGAATGCACACATAAATAAGTTTCATTGATAACTTACTACTGGATGTCCAAACTTCTCATGTAAGATAATCATAATTAAGTATCCTCTAATATAATAATACAGTAATATATATATATATATGTTAATTCTTTTTTGTATGAATAGTAACATTTCCTTATTTTATAAATTACCTTTAATTTATTTCTTTTTCGATAATATTTCGTAAATTCTAATTTAACACCTAACTTGTCATTTCATGTCCGTAAATTCTTAGATGTAATTATAAAAAATTATTAATGTCTCATAAAATCTAATTACAACACATACGTTTATCATTTCATGTTCGTTAATTTTCAAACATAAATACAGTAAAATATCTTGTTATTTATTACTAAAAAATGTTATCTAATATCATATATCAGCATTCCACACTAAATATGCATATTAACAACAATAATATATCTAACTAAACATTTAAGCGATAATAATTGTAAACACATCTGATTGTGAGGTGAGATATTGCCTCGGTACGTCGAATGAGTCAACATCGATGGCGCGGGTCAGATCTGACGCGGTGGAGCGCGGCATCAGAGGGGACTCTGGTGAAGAGCTGTCCGACAACGGGGCAGCGGGTCGGCGGCTCA